AAGCCAGTCTTCGGGTATATCTGGTGCCCTCGGCTAATAAGTAAATTTGAGCACGTAGTTTAGCAAGGCTACGTTAATACACAAATATAGACTGACACATGACCCAAGAAGAGACTTTTAGAGTACTGGAGAATTCACGTTACCATAATCCCGATGGTTATGTTACGATTTGTTTTATGTATTTTCTAGTGACGTCAAACTGGTTACAAATCTGCAAAGGTGAGTAGCTTCCTAATTGAAAACAAGATTATTCCTTAATAAATCAAATGTCCTCTTTTTATTTTCTGTTAAACATATCTTACTGTTAAAGACTTGATCATACATTACTTTACCCATGCGGTAAGGTATATATGTCAATAAACAACAGGGAGTCGATTCTTGACTGTCACGTGATTACATTACATAATGACAAACCGTAAGCCCTTCAATTAAAACAAGGTTGATTCCTTTAAATATAGCAAAGGCTCATTAGACAACAATGTATACAATGATAGGAAAGCAAACGATTGTTATATTATTTATTTTTAATTGGTCATTAGTCTCACTGCATTCAATAGGTCATAAAACCTTCTGAACGACAGTTAAACTTTCGCGGCGTTTACTAGCTTCCGTGAGCTCCAGATTATTTCGCATATACATGTACAGACTCTATGAGTGGTTGAATCCTCGTGACTATATAATTTGTAAAAACTCAGTTAAGATTGGATTACAATCATTGTATTTAGTTGTCTTATCTGTCTTATGTTTAAAATTTGACAGAACATGGAATTAAAAGCTTCTGTAATTTTTATGAAATAGTTTCTCATTGGTGATTGGAATACTCTCTATATATGTATGTGATATGTCTAATCACAGCCATAGCACAGATGTTTATGTCATCGTGTTCGGGATAAATTGATGAGTTAAGATGTATAGTCCCTGTACCCGGATTGCGGTTAAGATAACTCGATCACTGAATTAGTAAGACTTCGTAATTGATTGAGCCTGTGATTCTTGAAGGCGTTTTAAACACATGATCTTTGAAATGAATGCGTTGGTTAATGAATGCGAACTACAAATGAAGTTAAATACAACCATTGAATCGATGAACATCTTACTTTGCTTCAAGCTCTATCTCTCTGTCTCAGCGGCTTTTGCCTTCTGTGTGTTTTCCTCACCTGTGTCACCTATTTTTGCGTTTCTTTGATTTCTTTGTGTTTCCTTTCACATGGTGTTTTAGCATATGTAGGTATTCCTCTAAATATTAACCAAATGTGTTTTTTGAAAAAAAAATCAAAGAAAAGGTAAAACTGAAATCAAATGTTCAATTGAAGATTTTATTAATGACCTTATATACAACTATATCACTTGATAAATTAAAGTAATATATTAAGAACAATATTCATCAAGCATTTCACAAATGGCTCTAGTCGATACAATTACATAACATATTTGAATTCTATAATTATCTATTTTGTCAGGAATAGGACTGATGCAACATTGTTAACACTAAAATTGACATTATCAGTATGTTACAATTTCTCATTGACATAATTTTCGAGTTTGGAGGGTATGAATTTTTCAACAAAGTATCGGCTTTTCAATGAGTACACATTCAGATAAACTGACGATGTACTATCCACCATAAATCTTAAATTTAGTTATTAATTCCCAATGATAATGATTCCAAAGAACGTGAGATTAAAGACTACATAATCTACTTCTTCTGCTCCATACTCAAAATACCTATTGGGTATACAATTTGCATCTCATTCGCTATGCCCACAACTGGGATACATATAGTATTGAATCAATAAATGGATACATCAATAACATGGTAACACATTATAATATGAACATTTGCATTTTACATATCAGCATTTACAATTACAAAGTTATAGTTTTACAATATGCGAGATGCATGTTCAAATGGAAGCAGTTAATTTTAAAATGTGAGGTTTTGATTTTAAAATATGACATGCGTTCACACAATGGGTTGTGGGCTCCAATCACACTGGGCAAGAGTTTCTCAAGTAGATGTCTTCAAGCTTGTGATTTATTATCCGTCTTGATTTAATGGAACGAATCGGGCAAGCGAAGGGCAAAAGATGAAAGATATACACGTTTGACGTGTTTGACACGTTTGGAACTGTTGCAAAACACAATTTACAAAAATACATATCAGCTTGCCGTAGCCAGGGGTCTAATATGTAACCATTATATTCACAGATTTACAGAAGCTTGATGAACTCGCTTTGATGCGCGTATGCACAGTAATAAAGTGACATGTCATGTATTTATTTGGCTTGTACTTTATGATATTCGACACAAGTGAAATTGAGCTAAAACAATCCCCGCCAACTTGCCGGAAGTAAATTAGAAATGTGTTGTCCGGACTCAATGTAACTGTGGTACGTGGCCCTCGTAGCCTCCGGTCATAATTTTCATTTAACGAAAGAAAAGTATGGTGTGATGTGTTATCCACATTATTTACCTTTCTTTTTTTAATGTTTGCTTATGTGTTTAGGCTAAGCTGACTTCTGAACAATATTTCTGGCGGATATATCATTTCATACGTCATTGCCCCAGATTTTGTCCACATTTTTGACACACACACCCTGGGCTTATCCAGCCCGAGGGTCGGGGTTTCCGTGTTATATATATTCTTTTGAAAGATCCATTTTATTAATAAATGGCGCCCCCACTCAACAGAATGAGTGCTTGGTCAAAAGTGTGCTGTTTGATGAATTGCGTGCATCTCATTTTCAAGTGTGTTGTACATACATTCAAATGAATATACAACCATTTATGCTGTAGTGTGTATTTCATATTGCAATATGCTATCTCGTTGTTTTCGGAATGCAGCCTGCTATTTGCCGTTTTCTTGGTTGTTCAATTATGGATACAATTTATGTGATGTGTGGAAGATGAGTTGTTCGGTTTTGGGTCATTGTTTAAACACTCTGTAGTTTGAAATTGTATGCTTCCAATCAAAATATCATATGGCGATGTCTTCTAAAAACAAGGCATCAAAATGATATAATGATGTAAGGTCTGCAGTTTCTTTTTTTCAATTTTTTATTTGTGAAAAAAAACTGGTGTTTTTGAGACTGTAAACAATAAAACACCAATAGTGCAAGGCTAGTTCACCAACATGTCTCACATGTCTCTTCTCTTTAGTTTGTTTAGTGACTAACTCTTATTTTTTCAAATATTAGAATTCCTTTTATTTGGGAAGGTTCCTTCTATTAAAATAGAAAAGATAATCTTTAACCCAGCTTCGATATGCTTTCACATAATACAGAGCATTATTACTGACTAGGATTTTCTAGTCGAAAGCAGACGCTACGATTTAAATCGAAACATCGTGTATGTCAGCTGACGCAATACTGTCATTTAGGAAACTATATCGAATACCACACAACATTCGGTCATTTCGTCGGTACTAGGTCAAATGTTTTCATTACAGCAAAACAAACAATTACCTCAGGGTGGCATTAATTCAGAAGTATAAAAGTTTGTCTTGATAAAATAAATAAAGCAGCAGAATATTAGTGTTTTAGAAAACCTGTACATTGTTTTCAACAGTTGGAATTTGTCATATCAGGTCACAAGTTTATCGTTGCATTATAAATTTACAATATGAGAATTTTAATTTAAGACATTTAAATTTTAACAAAAATCACATATGAGCGTATTTAAATATGAGAAGAAATAGGTGTTAAAATATAAGCATTTACATTTATTATATTATATTATATACGAAAAGTTGTGAAACCGACAAAAAGCCAAATCAATACAGAAAACTGTTTCTAAAAATGTGTCAACAATAAATGAACTTTTGTTTATTTTGTTGATTTTCGCAACAATGTGATGTGTGAAGTTTACGTTGAAGCATCAAAAGTCCTTGGTTATTTTGTAAAACATGCCATATTTTACTTCATACTTTACAACGATTCAACATGTTTGTAATTCTGTCCGACATACTCGGGAAAGATCAAGAGTCTTGACGCACGCCTCCTCTGTAATTGAAACCGCGCATGAGCAGGTTAGCTGCCTTGAATAGTATCACAAATAGTAAAGTTTCAACCAAGCTAGGTGGTACGGTAGCTATCATTATCATATTATCGCATTTCTCGTTATTCTCTGTCGGCTCTACCTCAGTATTGTGGATCACCATGGCGCTCGGGGAAGTCTACACCGTCGCACTATTTGTTCTCATGTTGATTACTCCAGGTAAGTGTCTATCAACACACCGTATCTGTTCTTAACCTGACTTCGGCAGTTGTATATTCACACAGACATCTTTTCGTGTATTCTTGGTACCTATATGCTGTATAGTGGAGGATGTAATACTTATTCAGTGTAATAGGCATACAGAGTAAATAAAGTGTAAAAGAAGAAACAGTAAAATAGCTTACCGTATCAGTTGCTTGGCAAAAAAGATTTATTCACGGGCGGACATTTTCATCGCCTGAAACCATCGCCGATGAAAACAAAAACCGAAACTTTCAGAAAACTGTACTTGTTGTTGAGGTTCCCCTAAACAAGACTATCCTTATAGGATTACATATAAATTTAGCTGTTCAACGACACCTAAACGTTGTTGAGTTTGTGCTGTTTTCCCGATTTTATCTTTTCACAAGCTTTTTGACAGGAAATCCACAGCAGATCACTCAGAGCCCATGCGCGTCCAAGCAACATAGAGCGTTCTGTGACGTATTTTGCATGTTTCGTACTATCTTTAGTTCAGTGAGTACAGTCCAAGACGATATTGAATGTCTGTATCGACCCCTTCAATATATTTATGGTATATATGGTTGATTTATTTAACTTGCTGAACAAAGTGACACTGAAACAAATAAGAGCAAACATGTCCAAATGTGCCATGAAATTGAGACTGTCTGCAGAATACTGTACAATTCGAAAAGTAAAAATTATATTCTTTACTCTATAAATGCGTGTATTGTGGATCTGAGAAATACGGTGTAAAACATTTTTCGTAAAAATATGATGACCTCCAGTGAAGAGACAGACCACCACAGTCATATTTTGCATGGTGGACAATTTCAAAGCCCGGACTGCATACTTATGTAGACATGGATATCTTGTCACCTGATAAATCTAAATGAATTAAAGCACTTTTTCTTATGCCGTCATTAGACAGTTTGTGTTTGATTCTGTTGTTGTACAAGCTATCTGATGTGGATACCGCAGTTTAGAATATTCTGAATATATTGACTGTATTGAATTTCTATTTTATAGAGTGTGAACAGCGGTGTCAACAACAATGCGATATTAGATGAAAATGTAAGACTTTCTATGTTGTGTGCATTTTAAACGTTGACATTGTAAAAAAGGAGAGGAATATTGGATATCCCCATTGAAAAAAATGGATTCGGTAGGAAGAATCAGATGCAATGATTCAAGAATGGAGGCGTAAAGTAAACTAAAATATCATCATCACCAACTAGCAAACGCGTCTGCTGTAACTAGAAACTAGAACTTGGATGCAATAACTGATGCTTTTTATAACGTTCAGAAATTTCAAAAAATGTGATACACTGAGTTTCCGACATGTCGACAAATTACTCGATCATTATAAATAAAACAACAGGCAAAAGACAACAATTTGAAACACTGGTGATAAGCGTCGCTGACGCAGCATTGCAATGAGTATTGCCATTTTAGCAACTGCTAATAAGTGTCACTGATGCAGCATTGTAATAAGTATTGCTAAATCAGCAACTGCTAATAAGTGTCACTGATGTAGCATTGTAATAAGTCTTACTAAATCAGTAACTGCTAATAACCGTCACTGATGCAGCATTGTAATAAGTCTAGCTAAATCAGCAACTGCTAATAACCGTCACTGATGCAGCATTGCAATGAGTATTGCCATTTTAGCAACTGTTAATAAGTGTCACTGATGCAGCATTGTAATAAGTCTAGCTAAATCAGCAACTGCTAATAACCGTCACTGATGCAGCATTGTAATGAGTATTGCCATTTTAGCAACTGCTAATAAGTGTCACTGATGCAGCATTGTAATAAGTCTTACTAAATCAGTAACTGCTAATAACCGTCACTGATGCAGCATTGTAATAAGTCTAGCTAAATCAGCAACTGCTAATAACCGTCACTGATGCAGCATTGCAATGAGTATTGCCATTTTAGCAACTGCTAATAAGTGTCACTGATGCAGCATTGTAATAAGTCTTACTAAATCAGTAACTGCTAATAACCGTCACTGATGCAGCATTGTAATAAGTCTAGCTAAATCAGCAACTGCTAATAACCGTCACTGATGCAGCATTGCAATGAGTATTGCCATTTTAGCAACTGCTAATAAGTGTCACTGATGCAGCATTGTAATAAGTCTTACTAAATCAGTAACTGCTAATAACCGTCACTGATGCAGCATTGTAATAAGTCTAGCTAAATCAGCAACTGCTAATAACCGTCACTGATGCAGCATTGCATTACGTATTGCCATTTTAGCAACTGCTAATAAGTGTCACTGATGCAGCATTGTAATAAGTCTTACTAAATCAGTAACTGCTAATAAGTGTCACTGATGTAGCATTGTAATGAGTCTTACTAAATCAGTAACTGCTAATAAGTGTCACTGATGCAGCATTGTAATAAGTCTTACTAAATCAGTAACTGCTAATAAGTGTCGCTGATGCAGCATTGTAATAAGTCTTACTAAATCAGCAACTGCTAATAAGTGTCACTGATGCAGCATTGTAATAAGTCTTCCTAAATCAGTAACTGCTAATAAGTGTCACTGATGCAGCATTGTAATAAGTCTTACTAAATCAGTAACTGCTAATAAGTGTCACTGATGCAGCATTGTAATAAGTCTTACTAAATCAGTAACTGCTAATAACCGTCACTGATGCAGCATTGCAATGAGTATTGCCATTTTAGCAACTGCTAATAAGTGTCACTGATGCAGCATTGTAAAAAGTCTTACTAAATCAGTAACTGCTAATAACCGTCACTGATGCAGCATTGTAATAAGTCTTACTAAATCAGCAAATGCTAATAACCGTCACTGATGCAGCATTGTAATAAGTCTTACTAAATCAGCAACTGCTAATAAGTGTCGCTGATGCAGCATTGTAATAAGTCTTACTAAATCAGTAACTGCTAATAAGTGTCACTGATGCAGCATTGTAATAAGTCTTACTAAATCGGTAACTGCTAATAACTGTCACTGATGCAGTATTGTAATAAGTCTTACTAAATCAGCAACTGTTAATAACCGTCACTGATGCAGCATTGCATTACGTATTGCCATTTTAGCAACTGTTAATAACTGTCATTGATGCAGCATTGTAATAAGTCTTACTAAATCAGCAACTGCTAATAACTGTCACTGATGCAGTATTGTAATAAGTCTTACTAAATCAGCAACTGTTAATAACCGTCACTGATGCAGCATTGCATTACGTATTGCCATTTTAGCAACTGTTAATAACTGTCATTGATGCAGCATTGTAATAAGTCTTACTAAATCAGCAACTGCTAATAACTGTCACTGATGCAGTATTGTAATAAGTCTTACTAAATCAGCAACTGTTAATAACCGTCACTGATGCAGCATTGCATTACGTATTGCCATTTTAGCAACTGTTAATAACCGTCACTGATGCAGCATTGTAATAAGTCTTACTAAATCAGCAACTGTTAATAACCGTCATTGATGCAGCATTGTAATAAGTCTTACTAAATCAGCAACTGCTAATAACTGTCACTGATGCAGTATTGTAATAAGTCTTACTAAATCAGCAACTGTTAATAACCGTCACTGATGCAGCATTGCATTACGTATTGCCATTTTAGCAACTGTTAATAACCGTCACTGATGCAGCATTGTAATAAGTCTTACTAAATCAGCAACTGCTAATAACTGTCACTGATGCAGTATTGTAATAAGTCTTACTAAATCAGCAACTGTCAATAACCGTCACTGATGCAGCA